CCATTACAACTCTCATTTCCCCAATTCTGTAGTAAAATCCAATACAGTTTGGAATTTTCAACTAACGTGTTAAAGAAATTCAAGCAATTATATTGACGTTTTAAGAAACAGATGGTTCAAAAATATAATTTCCCTGCCGTATAGAAAATGTTGCATCATAAATAGAGACAGTAAAGAACGTGGGATAGAAAGGATGGAGTCTTCTACAAGACCAAATTAGGACTGAGATAGCAAATATCAAGATGATTTCTGTAAGGAAGGAACAGAAACATAAACAGGTCAAAAGCTAGAATTCTACAAACTTAAGTAATAGACTTACAAAGATATTAAGTTACTTGGTTGGCAAGATGCATGTCATACCTATAATCAGGCTTTGTTGGCTTATTCTGAAACAGCGTTTTAGCTAGTGCCATTCCCTCCATCAATGCAACCGGAGTAAGATTCATCCTACCTGTGACATCTCCAACTGCCCAAATGGACGGAACTGAAGTTTGAGAGTATTCATCAACCTAGGTGGTAGGGGAGTTTTATGGAGAACAGTTAGAACATAGGGCTTAAAGTTATTTAAATAACCAATGAGAAGCTTAAACTACCTCAATTGCTCCATTTTTAGCTGTTTTCACGCCGACAGATTCCAGCCCGAGGTTCTGCGGTGAAGTTTCAGTTCAGAAATATACTCACCAGACTAGCAAAATAAAATTATAATTTCATGACTAAAACAACCAGCTGTTTGGACAAAATGACATTGAGCAACTCTAAGACTAACTGTTCAAGCAAACCAGTCCAGCCAAAGGAATAATCATGGCGAGTATAATTGATCTAAAAAAATTACCCTCCTTTGAGAAATAATAAACCTTAAAGTTAACTCACTTTTCTTCTTGTGATAGAGTTTTTTTGAAGATGATAGGAAGGCAGATCTGCTTTTTCAAGCTACTACATTCCCAGTGAGCAACTCTATGGTCCAACAATCTAAAGAGCTCTCAGATAAGCAGCAAGGAAAATAAAGAAAAAGTAAAATACATTATTGAAAATCTAACCTTGGTATTTGGTGTGCGTCCTGTTGCAAACATAATATGTGAGAAACCTTCCACTGTACCTTTGTTGGTCTTCAAAGACAATGAGCCATCAGCTGACTTGATGATGGCTTGGGGAGATTCCTCCACATGAAACTCAATTCCTCTTATCGACATCTGTTCTGAAACAAAATCTCTGACCTGCACAATTCACAATTTGAATGTGAAGAATTTGCAGTGTGGTGATTGTTTACTACTAATATCAACTATGGTCCTCACCTCTTCATCAAATCCCCGCAAAACTTTTTTCTGCCGTATAAATACATGGACCTCGCTTCTTAATCCATTGAAAATACCAGCAAACTCCAAAGCAATGTAACCACCACCAACAATGGCTATTTTCTCAGGTTTTGAAGGCAAATCAAGGGCAGCATCTGAATCTATTGCATATTCACGTCCAGGGATATCAGGAATGAAGGGACGGCCTCCTACTGAAACTAGAATGTGCCTGGCTGAATATAGCTTTCCATCAACATCTACTGTGTGAGGATCTACAATCTGTAGGTGAAAAAGCCTTAGCACCACAATGAAAAACATTTCTATAACATCAATTGTAATTAGAAAGCCAATAAGATTATCCCATCACCTTTCCACGGCCTTCAATCAGCTTGACATTAGAATTTTTCAAAATATTCTGGTAGATACCAGTAAGACGTTGTAACTCAGCATTCTTATTAGCCATCAGAGTACTCCAGTCATGGTTTGGTTCACTATCATATCTCCAACCAAATCCATTACTTTCTTCAAATTCATGACCATATTTTGATGAGTAGACAAGCAACTTCTTCGGCACACATCCACGTAGTACACAGCTGCATGGAAAAGACAAGTAAAAAATAATAATAATAATAAAGAGGTGTATTTGAATCCTCACAGTAACAGAAACACTTAACGTAGATTAAATGCTTCTGGAAACATGCTACAGTTGCTGTATCTTAAATTCATTTCAGCCCACCACCCACCCAATCCTTGAAAAACAGATATGTCACACCTTAAAGATACTTTTATAATAAAAAAAGAAACAAGCTAACCTTGTATGCCTCTGTGTACCCACCCCCCAAGGGGAAAGAAAAAAGAAATGAAAAGGGGAAGGGAAAAAAAAAAAAACCATAACCCCATTTTTTCTTTCTGTCAAACCGGTGCTTTCTTTCTCGTACTTCTTTTCACCCCATCTTGTGAGTTGATTTGGTTCAGACCTGGTAAATAATCACTCCAATCCTACCATCCCAAATCGATCACCTAGGAGTCATCTAAGTTCTCCAAAACTAATTTAGTCTTGTTCTTCGTTCTTCTCTCCGAGGCCGTACCATCAACACCTTTACTTGACTTACCAGCACTACTGCTTTCTATCTTCTCGACTCCCTGAGAATTTTCTACTGAGTGCAAAGCAAGGCGCCCGCCAATCATAAGGTGCACTTCACACCAGCTTCAATGGGAACGAAGATAATTTTTTTCCCCGGAAAAACATTTGTTTCTAACACACAACCGTATTTTTGCACCGTAAAGCCATTTACATTTTTTAAACAGCATTAGTCTCAAAAAACAGAAACTACCTAAGTTTCAGTCAACCAAATTCAACGTTAATCGATACTCCACAGCGTGATATTAATTGGTAGCCTAGTTTCCACGGCAATTCGAAGGCTATATTCAAATCCTAATACTACGAAATGAGCAAGACACATATCGAGACAGCACTCACGTTCCGCCGACTCCTCCGGTAGTGTCGGACGAGATGGTGGCGAAAGGGAGCTCGCAGATAGCGACTGAAGCGCCGAAATTGGCAGCAAAGCGAGAGGCACGGACACCGCCACTGCCCGCACCAATAGTGAAAAGGTCGAAGTCGTAGTGGCGGGAAGCATCGGTTCCATTTTCAGACTGAGAACGGACGGTGAAGGTGCAGCGATGATGGTAGTCAGAGGCATGGTGTGAGAGAGAAAATAGGGTTTTGGGAAGAGAAACAAAAGAGGAAGCGATTGAGCGAGAAAGGGTGGGCTTTTTGCAGAAGAGGGTCTGAAGAGTTGGGGAAGAGAGAGAGGAGAGCTTGGGGCTTGTGAGACAGGAAGCCATTGTTTTCATCTTCTCTCCCAGCAGGGTTGCATCTAGGGATTTTTTGGTTTTTTCCTTGAAATGCGTCTAGGGATTAAAAAAAATTTAACAGCTTCACGCAATCCATATATCGTTGTATCAACATATCATCTCGTTATCACAAATAAGATTATATAATCAATACTTGTTAAAATATTAATATTCATATTCATGTTGATGTATTATATATATATATATATATGCTAATTTATAGAAATTATTATTATTTATAAATTTTAAATAGTCAAGTGTTTGTTGGTAAAAAAATATATTCAAATTTTTAATACATAAGAAAAGGCAATTTAATATCTACGGAATGACATCAAGGTGAAATAAGTGTCCTATTGCTGGCCCAAAAAGGGGGATAATGTGCAATTAAAAGAATTGGATTTTTTATAGTTAAAAGAATTAGAATTATTTTCTGTAAAACAGATATCTCAATGCAAACTCAAGACCTTTTTTACTTTTTTTTTTAATACGAGACTACAAAAAACTATGATAGTTTAAATTTAAATACAATACAAACTCGAGACCCCTTTTAAAAATATGAGGTGGCGCTGGCATATCGCGCAGAAAAGCGGGAGGCCGCTTATCGCTTGGCAGAAGCTGACCAAGTCATTCAGTTCCAGGATACGATGCTCGATCCCCCAGTTAGGTTATATGAGATAAAATAATCACACTGAGCCAGGAGATGACAGGAAGTGAGTGTGCAATCCCTTGGCAAACATCAAACAGCAATGCCAGGATATTTTGAAGTAAATTTAATAGTTCTTGCTTCAAATTGTTTCAAACATATATAAAGCCAACTTCTACAGCATAACCTGAGACAGATACTGGCCTAAAAAGCTCATGGTAATGCTGCCGAAATTTTTGATCTTCCCTGTATACTAGCCTGTTGTAGTGCTTCCAGCAAGAAGCGAGTAGCAAATCCCCACTCTTGAGAAGGTCACCCAAAAAAAAAAAAAATTCCCAGAACATTAGAAGCTATCTCATGTCGTAAGCAACCAGTCCCGAATTCACAGGGAGGCAAACAGGGCTTTGGCCCCCATACTTCAAATTTTTTTTTTTTTTACAAATAGATATAATTTTGTCTATAAAAAATATACAAATCAATGTTAAAGCCCCACATTTAGATAAAATTTTAGTTATGAGCCCCATATTATGATTTCTGGATTCATCCCTGAAGGGAACATTAGGGAATTCTACATAAAAACTCACTCTTTGAAAAATTGCGGAGATGCCTTATGCAGATGTCTAAGATAATTCGAATTCAGATTTTAAATTTAAAAGAAACAATTATTTCCTTTTTTTATTCTGCCATACAAAGTATTTATTTCAAAAAGAGTAGCAGCCACCTACAAAAATGACACCAAAAGGGGATTCGCCAGCATATAAAGATAAGATGTAGAATTAATTGGTCAACCATAAACAAATTAAAAGAAAATTTATGTTGTTAGATTTGCCTGATACAAGTGAACTTATTGCTCCATATTTAAATCGTTCAGAATACTTGAAGTGATGAATGGTAGAGTCTGCTGGAGATGTGACATCAAGATTTTGTTAATGGCGCTCAAATAACAAGCTGTATGTTTTAGAGGCTATGAATGTGGAAAATGTTACTCCCAGGCATCTCTCCACGTCTCTTCCCTCGCTGCAACTGCAGTGTCTCGGCTTCTTCTCCTTAGAACATCCTCACCCTTTTATTACGTGCTATTCATTAGTAGTGAGATTCTAAACACAGAAGACCAGAGCGTGTTTGTCTGTTTGATAGTAATTGTGACCATTGCATGCATGGAATGCTTCGGCGGCTCCATCTAGAGTGATTTATACACCTTATATCCCTTTTCGCTGTGAAAGCTTTATGATTAATATTTTGCTCGGCACAATTTTGATATATACTTTACAGTTTACACTACAGTTGCAGATTTGGATTTGGAGTGACAAATAAACAAAGAGCAGAGTAAGTAGCAAATGAAGAAAGAAGGAAGTGATTAAGTGTGGGAACTGGGAAGGGATGCACAAGTGGTATTGATGGAAGACTCAAGATTGATTAGGAAAGGAGAGGAGTCTGCATAAAAGAGTAATTGATGGGAGTTTTTTTTTTTTTTTTTTATAAACTTGATGCGAGGAATTAGAGAGACAATCCAGACTCTTCGTCGTCATCAAGTCCAGATGTGTAGACAGTATAGAAAGCCCAAATGAGAGCGAAGACGCCCAAGAGGATCCAGCCCAGAAGGTTGTTGCTGAGACCGAAGGGAAGCCCCGTTCCTTCAGTGCTCATTCTCTCGTCCACTAGAGCCATGGCTGGGCTTGACATCGTTGCAGCGCATGCAGCTGCCACCAGTGATGCTCCCATCCCCACCTTTGCCTCTGATTTGCTTTGCTCCTCGCCACTCTTGCTCTCCATGGAGCATCTCACTCTTCCCACTTTAGCCATTGCTGGCATCCCTACACAACCAAGTGACCCGTTAAGTTCATTTTAAAGCATGCAACTATGAGTCCAAAAGTAAGCACACAATTATTTGATTTATATATGCCTACGAAAGAAAAGGAATTAATGGTTTTAGGGCGGAAAGAAAAGGCTTACCAACACGAGGGGAACGCCCTAGGGGCCGCTTGTGTGCAAGACCAGCGTGGGTGACGGACGAGGTAGGGGTGCCGGCGGAGATGGTTGCCATTTTTCTTCAATACAGCTGGATCAAGTCGTAGAGTCCTCGCTGCTGAAGCACAAGGGATAACAGTTTATTTCACATTTTAGCAGACGCTTTCGATTAATATTATTACTATCATTGCAACAAAAGCCACTCTTGTACACCACACGGTATGGATAGACTTCAAGCCTCTCGTTGGATTGCCCCATCTCTACAAGTCCAATTACCTTCTTCCACGTGTCACGCATGATCCGTTTGATAACCCACATGCCCTCCCGATTCAACTGACAACGTTTTCTATCCTTCTAGGTGTAGGGTGAAGGAAAAAAAAAATCCACAATTTTCAATATTTCATTATTTTGATTACCAGTTCCCTGGGAAACAAGATCGTGAGTTCCCCGAAACCCATACGGTGAAACAATTCCTAGGTTCTCAAATGGCCTTTAAAATGAAATTTAGGCCGTACAAGTGGCGAGGAAATGATAACTAAACCACCCGGTCATATGAACAATAAACCATCCGGAAAAATTATGAACAGGGGATAAAAGCAAGCACGCACTTGATTCCCACTTACAGCATCATGTGTCAGGAAACAAAGAAAGATAAAATGAAACGATCATTGAATACTGCAATGGAGGAACACTGCCCTAATTTTAACAAATGGCGCATAAATTTGTCCTTAGGGTAAAGCATAGATCTGCTACAGTCTCTCTGTAGCTAGGACGGAATCAATAAATAAGAACAGCGAAGATGAATTATTTACACGAAAACCAACAGTATCTGCAAACAGCTAAAATGCCTCTGATTCTTATTTCCACCTTAACTGTCACTATAAACTGGCTAAGCTTTTCAACAAGCGATGTATAGAATATTGTTGAGAAGGTACGAAGGGCTTTACAATCAGAACTGCCAAAGAACAGGAAAGAATCGAGCGGAGAGGCAAATAATGTGCCATCGGATTGGTCAATTTACTCAGCAAGGTAGGAATATTTGTCCTACTCATGTACATTGCACTGTTGCAATATAGGATGGTCATAATTAATAAATTTGGTCCAATAACCCTTGTATCTTCCCATCGCAATATCCAACCATGGTTTCCTAATTCCATCATAGTGTATAACAGCGGCACGCTCAATTTTATTTCGATCTATGCCAGAGTTATAACCAAGGCCATGAACATGCCACCGTCCGTCCAACACCATTGTCTTGTTATAGAAAGTGAGCCACCCTATAGGCAGACTCCCAGCATTCCATAATGGCCTCTCAGAACCCTGAAAACATTAACCAGATAAGTAGGCATCAGAAGTCATTGCATCAAAATTCAGATATGATTTTTTTTTTTTTTGGCCAGCAATTCAGGTATGGATTTTGACGAACATTTTAAAAAAAGAAAAGGAATAGAGGAGTATAAGTTGCTTGAGTGAACATGTATGACCTTCATTTGTAAAAAGCAAAATGAGGGTGGGCATAGTGGTGTTACTTAACATAATTTAGCCAACATATCTTTGGAGATAAAGAGGCATCACTTGGAAATAACAAATCTGGCTATAGTAGGAATGTCAAATACTTGACTACAGAGAACAGCCTCATGATGAGGTATTAATTTGCAACAGAAGCAAAACTACTTGCCTAACCATTCGTGTAGCAGAAAAAATGCTGGCTAAGAATGATTTAACCCAACTTCAAGGAAACACGTCTTCATAAAAAAAAAATATATATATATATATATATAAGGGCAAGACTTGGGTACTTAAGCCTTATAGACGTAATGTACTTTTATCCAATCAAGTCAAGATAAATGAATTTTAATGTATTAATAATATTAATAACAAAAATTTGTTATACAATAAATGATTTATAAATCATACACACGTCTTGGAAATAACAAAAATTTGTTATACAATAATTGGAAATAAACACATTAAGTATATAAAACTAAGCATACAAGTTTTTCCCTATCTAGAAATGTCAGCTCTGGATTGCTTCATTCATTCCAAAACTCAAACTGAAAATTTAAGAGATATAAATCCAACATAATTGATTGTCTAATAAATGCTGCAGGCGAAAAAATAATGGAAGGGATAAAAAACTAGCAGCATGCTACAAACTAGAAAATTTTTGTTTTATTCATACCATTTCCAGATATTTGTGATAGACACCAGTTAAATCCAATCTCCTCCACTGTTTCAAATCAAACAAGTTCATCCCAAATGCCCATGTGCATGCATTGTCATCAAACCTCTCTGCAATAAATGGATCTGAGAAATTGATGAGCGTATTGATCCTGTAAAATGAAGTATCACCTTCTTGACAAGTCCCAACTGCTCCATTTACTTTTTCCTTCATCTTCACATTCCATAGGTCACTGAGATCTTGTTGGATCACCATATCATGATCAAAGAGAACAATCTTATTGAGAGCAGGGAAGATGTCTGGTAGATAGAAGCGAAGGTAGTTGAGTTCAGAATTATATCTTGGATCACTGAAATTTTGTTTCTTGAAGCCACTGTACTTAGACATCCATTTAAATTTATCTATATTTTGTATGTGGAGTGTGGCTTGGCCTGGTGGGTTAAATATGAACCACATTGAGATTGCTGGAAAGTTGAGTGAATTGGTCACCACATGGAAAACAAGTTTCTCTGGTTCCTGCATGGTAAAAGCCATTGTCAGGTAAAGCATTCTTGCCACTACATACACAACCAGATTCCTATTATTCGTGTTAGAATCAATAATGAAATGCATAATAATGAAATCAGGTTCAACTTCTTTGTTCGCTAGTTAATGGTGCATTTTTTTTGGTATGGATAAATAATAATGAAGTGCATTATTCTTCCAGAAATAGATACTTTTTAGGGTAAAGAAAAAATGAGTTGAACATCAATATATATAATACAATCTGCAACAAATCATATTATTCAAAAGCCATCAATCGTGCACCTTATATCTTAGACTTTGTGCAATACATGAAAAACATGTCTAATTGGAATAAGGGAACTCTTCAAATATGACATAAGTATTATGTAATTACCATAAAAGACAATCAATGTAGACACGCCCTTTTTACCCATGAGGAGAGAACTAGAGAAATATCAACTATGCAAAATAATAACCGAGGCCCCAAGTACATACTACACAAAAATAACTTAATAAAATTTAGAATGAAACCAACAGGAGGAAAAATTGATACTGAATAGCTAAGCTCAGTATTGAATTGGCTATAGTCTTTCTCCATTTCAGCAATGGTAAGTGACTTATTAGCCTAAGGTAAAATTAAAGAATGATTGCATTAAAAGGGAAAAGGAAAAAGAAAAAGTTAATCCATGTAACAAAGAGCATTTACCTTGGCAGTAGAAACAGTGGAGTTAACAACCACTGCACAGGCCAGAACATTGTCAGAGAAGACAGCATAATGATAAAGTTCAGGATCATCGATCCTATTTTCATTTGGAAACTTTCTCTCCTCAGGCCTCAGAGCAAAGTATTCTGCAGTCAGCCGCATAGAAAGACAGTGGAGGCCTTTACTGGTAGTCCTTGCAGCAAGATGAACAAGATATGACACTTGAGCTAGCTGAGTCCGAACTTGCTCTTCAGCATTATAGTTCATTGCACGAAGCTTTGAAGCCATAAGATGACAGTGTGGGTAAGCACGGTTGGCTTTGGACAATGAAGCTTCCATGTGTTTCATTTTCTGCAAAGCACTGTGAACTTCACTTGTTTTCAGATTGAAATAAAAAAAACAATGGACTTTGATAGTTGAAATTTAACCAGAGCATTAATATAAATGTTTTCACCATTTTTGAACAGCAAGACCAACAGTCCCAAAGATTTAATACATAGTTGGAGTTAGAGATTTCTTCATCATATTTAGTACAAACTGGCAATCAATCGGGAAACGAATGCAAGTTGGGAATATCAGAAAAGAATTTTTGAAATGAATGCAAAAAGGGAATATAAGAGAGGAATATACCTCCTTGGTAAATCTGAATCCTTATTGGCTTCTCCAACAATTTGTTCCATCTCTTTAATACGCAGCTTCAACTCCTTGACCAAGCGTGAGGTGCTGCCAGGTGGTGCAAACATCAAGTATGCTTTGGCTCTAATAATTTGGTCTTTAATCTCCATTACCCTCTCATTTGATGCTTTATGTGACCAACTGTGTAAAGTCTGATGATGTTGTGATGTTTTTTGATCAGATTGCTCATTTCTCCCTCCAATATTTTCATGTTTTTTTTCTCTGTGATTGAGTGTTCATGTTCTGATATTGTGGAACTGTTTCATTAAATTTCTTCTGCAAGTTCAACCACATTAAAAAGTAATATAAGACTGCAAGCATGTAAGTTCTTTTTCATTTTTTTTTAACAATTCAACTGTAATGATAGATTGCAGCCCACCATCCAAGTTGTAATTACATATTTACTCAATAAACCTAGAAAAATAGATGTTCTGTCCCACCATGAACCACAGGTTTTTCATTGTCCTTGTATATTATTTGCCACCCATGTCAAGATCTATATCAAATTAGAATCGTATAGATATGAACATTATGATACTGTGTTGAGAAATGGAGTTAATGATCCCTGTTCATGTAGCCTAATGCATATTTACGATACAGTCATTCTTCTAAAAATCTTGAAAAACAGTAAACACAAAAATAGTTCACAGTATGGATGAGCAAGATATATAAGATCAGTGCATAGATGAATGCAATTAGTGCAGAGTTGCAGGTACTATTTAATAAATTGATTGAATTTCCCTAACATTTAGCATTAAATAGCTCATCCGTAAAATCAACACATCTGACGAAAAATTTCTTGACACACTTCAAATTAATTCAGGAGCAAACCAGCACACGTCTGGACTACATATTGAGGCCAAAAGCAACCAAAGGGATCCTGCGATCATATAGAAAACTGAAATTTTCCTAGACTGTTCTCTGATTCTTTTCAGAAATCAGTAAATGTCATGCCAGGTGCATGGTAAATCACATGAGTAACAATGTGGTCTTAGTCAGTCTACTTTCTTTTCTCCAAGAAAGGTTAGGCATGAGTAATTTAAGACGTCAACCTATAAACAAGAGTCGAGATTGTCCAAAAAATGAGGAAAGGTTCACATGTATTGGCTTGATGATTATCGAACAACTAAATGATATTGAAATCATTTTTCAGGCCTTGATTTTTAATCATATCAAATACAGATCATAAGGTCAGTAGTTATTAAAGCATTCCCTTCAAGACAGGACGCTCCATAACGGATCAAGTAAAAACTCCAATCTTATGATGGTATAATTAATTAACATGTACATGTAGGCCAGACAAAAAGAAAAATTAACATCCACATTATAGAGAAGTTGATAACTGAAATATAAATACGAAGAATCCAGGTGACGTTACATTGTAAGTTTACAATGCCTATATGTGCCAGTTTATTTTTTGACTATTATACAAGTGCTTCCACAAAAACTTCTAGCGCCATACAACAATGTCTATGTGACAGAAGCATTTATTTTATCCAATGAAACGTTGAAGGCGTGAAATGATCTTAACAGAAAAGAAGTGAAAAATCCTAACATAAATTGAAATTTAAGTGCATTACATCTATCTTTACTGAAACCTGAGAGATGAATCTTCCAATTAGGCATACTCCTTCTTTGTACTAGAGAAAGAAATTGAAGCAGGTGCCCCTACAATCTTTGATGATGCGATTCACTAAAGAAAGTAGCACAAACCTTTTCTCCAGAAATGGAAGAAGATCCTTTCCGTTGAACTTGCTGGTTTTCTTTTTTGTCATCATTGAATCCTGGAACTCCAGAACAGCACGCAAAGTTTAGCTAATCCCAAAGTGTTGACATTACGTTGGGGAAAAAAGAGAAGAAATTAGATATTCAAAATGCTCCTAGAGATACCTAACATTTCTTATCAAAAACTTACTTCTGTACCCTACAATTCCAGATTCTTCAGAATCGTTCCTCTGTTTGGAACTGTAATTAATTGTGGGGACAAAATCATTTTCTTTGTAAACAACTTGTTTTGGCTCTTCTAATCCTCTAGCATCTTCCTGAAAGGCCCAAAAAAAATACAAGCATTAACTAAATATCATGATTTTCCAATTCAGTGTAAAGAATGGTAATCAATTAAAGACTGAGGAAGGATCTAATCAGATATGCCGCTACCTTTTCTATGGAATTCAATTTCAAGGTATCTGTCCTGTATGTCTGCAAGAAGCAGATGAAATTCATTTCAAATTCAAATCACAAGAAAAGAGTGTAACAGGCAGTTCACTTGACTTCCGATGAAGTATGGCAAAATTTCTTCCAAGGTTCATGGAAAAAAAGTCATAGTAGATTAGAATCTTCGAACCCGTAGTTTAAAGCCAAAAGCACAATAAACTCAAATTAGCTGTCCGTCCCAAAAAAAAAAAAAACAATCCCACCGACTCTAAAACAACAGAAACCAGAGATTTAAAAAATGCAGAAACCTAAATCCTCTTACTCAAATTTTGTGGTCAGCAAACAAACTGAAAGAACGAAAAACCTATTTGTTTGATCGGGAAAACAATGGTGAGAATCTGATGACAGAGGAGCAAGATTCTTACAATACTTGATAGATCTTCCACAAACTCATTCCGACCTGAAACGAAATTTACACGATGAGAAGCAATAACAGATAACTTGACACAATATAAAATATACACAGGACTGCAAGCAGGCACGGCGAGTGAATTTACCGTTAAAAGCGAGAAGTTTAAGCCTGTCAGAGAATAAAATGAGAGGAGCAAAAACAGTAAAAGAGAGCAGAGAGAGGATGAGAATCCTCTGGCGTCGACGTAATTCAATCATCGACGTAACGAGCGGGAAATAGAACTGACTCTTGCCCTGGCTCTGGAGAAGCACATTTCAAAGATTCAGATCGCAGAGAATTTCTCGATGCTTCGTCGAGAAGGAAGGAACACAGAGGCCCATCCCTAGGGCTTCAGTGATGCGCCGCGTCCTTTTGTAGTCTGTGATTCTTCGGGCTTTCTAGAGAGAGAGAGAGAGAGAGAGAGAGAGGGAAAGAGAAGTAGCAGCTCCGCCCATGTTCGCCTCGGTCAGAAGGAGCAGTTTAAATTGCTCTCATTTGTTTCTTATTTCTTTAAATTACGGAGTGAGATTTTATAAGTTTTTGGGTTGTCCCTCGAGATCTGTGACCCCAGTGTGACTGGGACTAGGAATGGAATATAAAAGAGCATGCTCGATGGATGATAAGGACGCCAGATGTTCGATGATGTAACTGATCTTAGAGGGTCGGTGCTCCACACTTCTTCCCATCCAAGTCATTACCATTCAATTATTATGTTTTAGGACGAATTAGACCTAATTCTCCCTTATTAAAACCTTCACCGCTGGGTTTATACATGGAGTGCGGTCCTCTGCTTCAATGAAAACGGATTTGAGGAAAGTTGGTATTTAATTTACGATGGAGAAATGGTACGGTAAACCCTTCAAAGAGAAATAAGAATAACTTGGAAATGAATGCAAATATGGATACGCAACCAAATTGGTCCTGAATTTAAAAGATTATTTGGACAGTTGTACTTCTCGACCCTCCGCAGTTGATGCCCTGCCAAAGGCAAAGCGTCAACCTTGTAGACTCTGGAGAATAAATAAATAAATGAGCCAACCCATGTGAACCCTTTGGCAGTTTGCTTTGGGTTTGGTCAGCTAGCTTGAAATAATCTGTTTACGAATTACGGGTACTACATTACAGCATCACTCATATTTTGTCTTTATACACAAATTATAGCTTGGCCAAAAACAGAAGTGATCTCGAGTGCTTCTCAGATAGTTCGTAGTCGTGGAATAATTTCGATGTTGTGAGCTTTTCGCTCCATGTGACCAAGAAATTTTGTTGCCTGCTTGTCCAGATGTGTGTAATTGTACATGTAGTGTGTGTGTTGTTTTGGGGGTCCCGTTTGCGCGCGGCGCATCATCCCAAAACCAGATATACAAAGGTCATGTTTGTATTATTGAATTAGTAAGATGAAGATGAAATCAGAAATAAAATCTTAATTTAAACATGATTAGTATATAAGAGTTGTAATTTTTAAGAATTTTAATTCTATCAAAAATGCTAGAATTTAATTCTATCATATTGACTATAGAATTACTTTAATTTCTTTAAATTTATTTTGTGGACCACACTATCTTCATCTTTTTTGTTCATTTATGATAAGGTAGGTTTTTTTAATTTTGAGAAAAAAGAGCAATTTGATCTTTTCTTATTTTAATTATATATACAAATTAATATTATATTAGAATTTCATCTTCATACCAAACACACTTTTAAAACTCAATTTTATTTCAATTTCAATTTCAATTTTATTAAAAACTCTTTCATCATACCAAACGAAACCAAAATGACCTGACCTTTCCAATTAAATTGCATTAAGGTCTCTTTATCTATGCAACACTTGAATATAGTTTAGTTTAGTCGACTGCTCGACGCACAACACTTTTAATATTATTATTTTTTATGTTTTTTTGATAGGCTGTATCAACTTCATGATTTTAAATATAATTATAATTATAATATAATGCTTTGTTCAATTTTTCTGTAGCGTTGTAATAAATAAAAAATATATAATCTAGTTTTACGTTATCAGCAATCAAAATTGAATGCCCATTAATTCAGAAAATGGCCGCTCAACCATGTCAACCCCTATCCATGCACCATATAAGCTTTATAGAAAGTTGATTGCCAATGAATCATGGCTCCACCGCAAAAATTTCAGAACTTTTTAGTTCGGTTGGAGATAAAGTGGTACTTTTCAAATGTTTGATTTAGTTATAAATGAACAACTAAATTCTACTTCAATCTTTAATGTTTTTGTTCACTTTTCTCAGGTGAATTTGATTTGTTGCCTGCCTAAAGATTTGATTGTTAGCGGAGCATAATAATATTGTGTAATCATAAAATTAACCCTTCTAATATGATAAAGTTTATTGTCATTGTTGTATCTTTGGCAAAAATGAATCTTTAATTACCTTTCACTACTGAAAAAAAGATTGAAATCCCCTTGATTTATTGACATTTTTGTTGTAATATGACTTCTTATATATCTACTTTTCTACTGAGATACTTCCTCCGGACTAAATATAGGGCATTGATTGTTATCAAATAAATAAATAAATATAAAGCATTGGTAATTCATGATTTTCAAAAATGCTACTTAAAATCTTATTTTTGTAAGAAAATTACATCTTTTTAATTTTATCTTCATTAAATATTTCATATAAGTGCTTTGGTAATAATAATTAAAATTTTAATATATCATTTTTTTAAAGGGGTAATAAATGAAGCAAGGCATAGCTGGAAAAATAATTGTAAAAATTATCCAATGTCTTATATTTTAAAAAAAACATACTTTTTAGTCCCTACATTACTCGTATTTTGTTATAGATTCCTGCACTTTTTTTAATGTTTTGTATTCCTACATTTTTATTTTTTAATATTTTATATTCATCCAAAATTTCTACACTTTGTTCATTTAAAGACATAAAATATTAAAAAATAAAAGTATAGTAATTTAAAATAAAAAAATGTGAGAACCTATAATAAAATATGAATAAAGTGTAAGAATTAAAAGATATATTTGTTTATTTTTAATCAAGTAACACTTATAAAATACGTCCAATATTGGTTTAGAAGAATAAGTCAGAACTTTAACTTTTTTTGAAAAAACAAACTAGCTTTAATTCTTGCATGTCATGAGAATTGTAAAATTTTTCTATAGTAGCACATGTTTAGAAAAAAAAAACATATAAAGTGTAATTAAATATAATGATTTAATATAAAAGAAATAATAGATAAATCTCTCTAAAATAAAAATAATAATATTTTAGTCCCGTAAAATATAATAATCACGATAAGGCTAGAAGGGACTTTTTTATATTAAATTTATATGTGAAATTATTTTAGTATTGATTTGCAACTAATTTTACTTATTTACAATTTTAATATAAATATTCGTAAATTTGATTTCACTAATGACCAACACAATTTGAAAAATTACAATTTTCTATCCACAGCTTTATTCAATTAGTAAATTTAACTAATTTTATATGATTTATAAGTTTAATATAATTATTGGTAAGTTTGATTCTATTAATAATTAAAATGGTTTAAAAAATAATAATTTTTATTAGTAAAGTTTAACTAATTTTGTATCATTCACAAATTTAATATAAGTATTCACAAATTTAATTTTATCAATAATTAAAATAATTTACAAAATTAAAACTTTTTAAATCGTATGAGACACTAAAATAATTTCACACGTAAATTTAACTTTTTAAAACTTTACGGTGCTCATCACATTCTGCACATTAAATTATCATTTCTTCATTAAAAAAAAAAAATTGTTCATTCTCCCTTCAACGTACTAGGAATTGAAAATTCAATGTGCTTTCGTTTACATTGACACTGATCAATGATATAACCCATCTGTTGAAGACAGTGAAGCTTGTCTAGCAGAGAGCAGATCGGCAATAAATGTCTGGTTGTACTTCTTGAATTACTGTCAACAATTTGCTAGCGAGACCAATAAATTCGTCGCTTTCCGGGGTGGAAAGCGGAAACCCATTATGAACCCAACAAACAAAGATTTCAGAGTGTATTTAAATTCCAGTTGAATAAAATTAACTACAAAAAATTTGATTAATATAATTAATTTTAATTATAATCAATTATATTATAATATAATTATGCAAAAATATTATTTTTTTTAAATTAGTTTTGATAAAATAAAAAATGGTTAGATAATTTAACTAAAATTAATTTTAAAAATGTAAATTACGATAAAAGTCATTGCTTTTTCTAAAATGTAAATATTAAAAAATTTATATATAATATTGTTAAATTTATTGAACTTTGTATAAAAAATAAAATATATGTAACAGTAGTCCATTGAATATATATATATATATGATTAGTTATAAAATTTAAATTATTTTATATCATAATATTAATAATTTAATGTAGGTAAAAAATAGCAACAAC